TCATAGCAGCATAGCACAATAACTAGAAAGTGGGAACAACTCAAATGTCCAGCAATTGATGAATGCATAAACAAATTACAGTATGTATACATTCAGTGGAATATTTATTCAGATATGAAGAAGATGGAGTACTAACATATGCCACAAAATGGATGAACCTTGAAAACTTTATGCTAAGTGAAAGAAGCCAGACACGAGGTCCATGTACTACTATATGAGTCTACTGATACGCAATGTCCAGAATAGGCAAATCCTTACAGACAAAAAGCCTAGTGGTTGCACTGCTGGTGGAAAGCATGAATTGGTACAACCACCTTGTGAAATTCCTTGGCAGTATCTACTAAAGCAGAACGCATGCATGCCCTGCAAGACATCAGTTCCTCTCCAGATACAGATCCAATACAAACATGTACACGGGTGCACTCACAGATATATTCCTGACTTTAACAGCAGCATAATTTTTAATATCCAAGAACTGGGGAGTTCGTCAAGGGTAGAATAAAGAAATTGCAGTATATTCAAGTAGTGAGCAAGTTACGGCTACATACAATGTGTGGATGAATCTCAGACAATGGTTTGAGTGCAAGACAGACATATAGGAATATATACTGCAAAATGTCATTCATATAATTTAAAAACAGGCAGAACTATGATGATATCAATTAGAACAATGAATACCTTTATTGGGCAGGGGGGATGACCAGAAGGAGTATCAGGAGGGCTTCTAAACTGCTGGGAATGTTTTGTATCTTGACCTGGGCTAAGCAACCTGGGTGTGATCACTTAGTAAAAACATTCATAGGGCCATATATCCAAAATTTGTGCAATTTACTCTATGCATGTTGTATTTTATTTTTAAAAAAACTTTAACATGTAAATATTTTGTAAAAGGAAACCTAATTATCACTGGGAAAAAATAAATACCCCCTTCAAAAATATCCGCCTTCCATCCAAAAAATGAAACATGATCATCACAATGTAAGTAACTGTTAAGTCTTGGTTTGGGTATGTGGACTAGTTATTTATTATTTAATCTCTTTACTTTAGTGCATGTTTGAATTTTTCATGATAAAATGTTTTTTAAAAGTTGTATTGTTTTAAAAGTTTAAAAAAACCCTCTCTCTCTAATAAGTAAAATTTAAGTGTCCAGTGATTAATATCTGTGACATCAACATTTAATGTCTTCATTTGAAATTCCATGGAGGAAAATAAATATGAAAACCTGCCAAAGCTAAATCCACTTATGACCCATCCGATCTCCCGAAGTCTACAGTTAGCATGTCTCTCAAGGTGTTGCTAGGAACATATGACCCTCTCCTCCCACCCAGCCTCTCAGGGCACTCCTGCTGATCGCCACGTGTGGACAGCTAGACACACAATGGCAAAGGAGATTCAGAAATAGAGTAACACCGTCCCGGGAAAGCGCTGCAAACCAACAGCACAGCTGGTCAGAGATCCCCGGGCTCTTGAGGCTGATTACCAGGGTATCCCAGAGCCAGGCAAGTCTGGCGAATAAAGACTTGCCTTGGATGGGATTGCTGAGTCTTTTGTAGAACGCCATTTCTGCCCTTGCAAATTTCCGATGGCTTGACAATGAAGGAAAGAGCAGAAATGCGTGTTCATTCACCAGGCTCTGGTGAAGGCCATTACTGTTTTACTCAGTGGAGAGGAAAATCATCCAAAAGCTGAAATTTGAAAAATGTACAAATGTAACAGACAGAACAAAATGATGATTAGCCAGCCCTCTGACCTCTGTGCACTGGCTGTTTTCCTGCCAGTGGCAGGAGGCAAGTGGGTGGTTTATGCAGAACAAAGGAACGATGCAGCAGTTAGCAAAGCCTCCCAGCCGCCCCAGCGGGAAAGAAGATGAGTTTCCTATGTGTTAACGTGTGGCAGGAATGGAACACTGTAGGACGAGTGGCTGGTTTCTCACTCCTTGTCTGCCAGAGGACACTGCCACTCCAGTCACTGATTGTGTCTACTTGAAATCACCATGGCCAGCCATCTGGCTCAAGTTGTCCCGCTCTGATTGCTATAAGCTGTCAGAGAGGACCAGCCTGAAAAGACATCGTCCCTCCTGGTAATTATGGGGTACATCACACGGCTGCCATTTCAGAGAGTCCTATGCAAGACCCTCATTTCTGAATAATCTGCATCACTGTTTTGTTCAAGAATTTCTCTTCCCCTGTAGTTCCAGACCAGAGAAGATGACAAGGGTCTAGCATACCTTCAGATGCAACAAAGTAAGGTCTCTGGTCCGTTTAACTTGACATCAGACCCAAGTGCCTGGAACGGCAATGTGATTTGTGACTGGTGCCTGTCCAAAGTACACACCTGCCTTTTTTTTTTTTGGAGAAATTCTGTTGACATCGTAGGCTGTGGTTTTGACTTAGAAAATGCCCCGTGTGCGCCCAACCTCATTAGCTCATGTTCCCGATGGGCATTTGGCATTGCGTTCACTACGCCCTCCCGTGTGCCAGCGATGGCGGGGGGGCATGTTCCTGGTGGCCGCAAGGGGCTCGGGGGAGCAGAAGACCACCCAGTGTGTACGCAGCGCAGCTCAATGTGTGCTCTGTCGATGGGCCTGAGAAGGGGCAATTCTTCAAATTCTGTTTCTGCTTCCTTGCAAATTAGCTCAGTCTCTTACCAAGTACAACGGGGAAAGCTGGCTTTGAGGACAACCTATCACTTCGTTTTTACCAGGGAAACCTGCTGTTGAGGCATAAAATGCGTGCTGCCTCCCATGTAAGTAACATTCTGACTCTCCACTGTGACTCCAAGCATCACTCTACAGACTAGCAAAACCCAGTGACACTGCATACCGCAGCCAATCCCTTAACTGGGCCTAGGACTTTTAGGCCATCAGATATCTCCCCCACCCCCAAACCACCCACACGTAACACATGCACACACCTGTCCATGCCTTCAGATCTGTGACGAACGTGCATTCCCATCATATCACTGGGAACCCCATGCAGCCTCAACCCCAGGAGCAGAGGTTCTAAAATTAAAGTATAACTGTAAAAATGTGTCCATTTATGTCAGCAAAGCTTGGCACTATTTGTGGACTTGCATACAGAGGGTGCTAAATGAAGGGCAAGCGCACAGGTCATCGTTCTGGGCCAGGGACTTGCTCAGAGGTCAGTGGGTCTCACCGCTTGCTCAGTGGTTAGTCCAAGCGGGAGCTTGATGATGGTCCCCTCTCGAGAAAGAAAGTGAAGTCTCAGACACGTCTTGGGATAAGTAGAGAACTTAAGAATAAGGTATTCCAAGGCTTGAGATAGAGATTTATCATGAGCGATGAGGTCACTCCCTCCTGCACACACTTCCTTTCTCCTTTTGTGTGAGATGCGCTAGTTGTGTTTAACTCTACAATTTTGTCCTGAGTTGATATTATGGGGCATGAAATCTGAATTAGGAGAAGAGACATCACCAGAGCTGACACCACAACGGGAGAGGACAAGCATGAGACGTGAACTAAAAAGGTGAACTTTGACGGACATTTGCTATTCCTCTTTGGTTTTTTTGCTTTCCAACATCCAGTCTTCCTTCCCTTTGGGTAATATTCCTATATTTAATATGTTAATGCCCAGCTAATATACATTAATGATGCAACTGTATAAATACGCACAATTATAGAATTGTGTAATAACTGTATAAAAATAGAATCGGGCTTCAATATACATCTGCCACCTGCCCCGCCCCTGGCAGCCAGGTTTCCAGCAGTGACCTAGTTCACAGATTGGATATCCCTTCCTGGCACTTTGAACCTGGAGAGAAGAGATATTTGGGATTTATTCCATGCAGTAGTAACATCCCAGTCCCTATGGTGCAGCAATCTAATGACGTCGCTCGGAGTTTATTTTTATTTCCTGAAATCAAGAAACTTTGTCTAACAGACATTTAAAGAGTCGATTACATCACCTACTTGCTGTGTATCCTTGGACGAGTTACCTAGCCTCTCTGGGCCTCCAGTTTCCTGGCTGTAACACAATGAACAATGAATTTACATCTCTAGTTGCAGGGTATCTTTAAAATGATGTTAGCCCATGATTCCAAGCAGACGCGATATATTATAAAAGTTCCAAAGATGTAATTTAAAAGAAGGAAAAACACAAAACAATGACTTCTGATAGAGAACCATCCCAGTGCTGTTCTTCAGTTCTGACTTCAGTATAAACACTATCTATACCACCAGATTCTGCAACACTCACCACAAGTCATGAGATGCCCATTACTGGAAAATGCCTCTCGGGCTCATAAACGGGGATACGTGAGGATGTTGTCACAGATGTGGGTCTGTCTTTACAAATGGAACAGTGGTAACAGCAACAGTAATCCCTCACAATTGTAAAACACTCTCAGTCTTCAGAGCCACTTCACATCCCCCGCCCCGATCTCATGTGACCCCCACCAGCACGCTGTGCCTCATCGCCCCCACTCCACAGCCGAGAAATCAGGATGCCAAAAGGGGACCTCACTGCCCAGGTTCAGCTGACGGGGAACCCACAGACCCGTGGCCAGGACCCAAATCTTCCGACTCCAAATGCCGCTCCCTTTCCGACACGAGCTGCCCTTTGATGGAGGGATCCTCTGCCGCAGAATGCTGAAGGCTCTGCCCTCCCCCTGGGGCAACGGCTGAGGACGGGGCACGGCATTCTTCCACGTCTTGCTCTGTGCTCATTCTGACGACACAGACTTCTTTTCAAAATAGGGCCTAGTCCTCCTCCAAGAATGCTTGTCTTAATCTCCCTGAATTACAAAAGGAACCAGAACTAAGATTTCCTTTTTGGTTTAATACAATCTATTTTATCCATTTTTAAAGAGAGATTATTTTGTAGAAATGGCATGTAAATCCCCAAAATAAACAAAGTCACCTTCCTTTGGACTCTAGACAAATAACCTGAAAATAATCCTGACAAGATTGTGTTTGCAGAGCCAAAAAGCTCTGAGGAGAATAAATAAATAAAGGACTCACAGCGCCCGCGGCTCTCTGCCCTCCTCCCGCTCATGGTTGTGAATTTATGTCTCTCCTTCCCGGGTCAGAGTTAAACGGCTTCACCAGTGGAACCTGTAATTAGTATGAGTGGTTAATTCCAAGGGCTTCACTGCACATTCTCCATGGCATTTCACAGCACTAAGGGTGACCATTATGAGGAGGCGCGCTCGCCAATGAGTGAGCACTGGAATTAGCAATAAAACCCTTGTCTCTCCATTTCACATACAATTTGGCTTCGAGGAAGAAGACAGACTTTCCATTCACCACTGCAAGCCTTTCACAGCGCAAGCATATCTGGGCTTTGCGGAATAGACATGTTTCACGCCTCTTTCAGGAAATTCGATACATGAATTATCCCCAAATAAAGAGATTAAGGATGCACTGTTCACGTGACAAGGCATTTCATTATAAAAATATTCCAGTAACATGTTATGCATTTCCAAATTTAAAAAAAAATGTCTGATTTGTATGTTTATTAAGGAATGCAGATTTTGTACAAAGGTTACACCTAGATTTTCATGAGGTCACACATATGATCAAAGTGTAGATTATACCATGAATATATATGGCTTTACCTTTTACCTGAACTGTGCATAGTGACAAAACTTATTTTTGAAGGTTTGGACACTTAGCCAACACAAGCTAGACCTGAAGGCACATTTAAAAATTGTTCTGAATAAGAAATCCAAGATATTCTCTGATCTGACCCTAAATGCCATCAAAGTCTTGAGCCAATAATTAAATCAACTGTCCAGAGGTGGGTGATATTTTTCTGTACATAAAATATGAGACTGAGCAAATAATTGTTCCCCCCCATTTATCCTGCTGCCCATCGTACGTGGCTGTGCATCACGAATCCTGAGTGACCCACCTGGTGAGCAGCCGTGTCCACCGCTAAGGAAACTACTTTGCCTTGAGAAGAATTCTGGGGTCAGAACCGTGACGGGGTTGGGCCGAGCGCTTCAGTCGGAAAGCTGGTTCTGGTGGAGGCAGGACAGATGGACTGGAAGGCAATACCAAGACCCCGTGGCAGAGCCTTCCACTGGTGGGTGTAGGGAGAAATGGATGGACTCAGGAGATAGGAAGTATCTGGAATTAATAAAGCTCAGGGTTGTAGTTTGGAAGGGAAGGAAGATAATATTCCGATTAAGGATGGCTTGGAGTTCAGGAGTCCAGGGCAGCCAAGTGGATAGTAGAGCCCTTCTTCAGAGAGGAAACACAGAGACGGGGAGTTGGGGAGAAGAAACAGGGGGTCTGGTTCAGGACATGCTGAGTTTTGGATGCCCGGGAACGGACCTGAATTCCATCCCTTCTTCTTTACGAGTACAGAAGTCTCCGATTGGAGCCCTCAAGCTGCATCCAACACAGAGACACGGTTTCTTAAAACCACACCGTATTTTCTTAATGGACCCAACTGTTTTTAAAATAGGTTATTCTACAAAAGGAAAAGACATCTGTGTCTTGAACAGTTCAAACTCCTGGCACCATACTTTCCTTGTGGCAACAACCTGCTGGAGCCAAGAGGCAGGCGTGGATTGCCAGGGTCTTCTCCAGAAAATCCCATAAGCCACGTACCTGCAGGTCACTGTCGGCTTTCTCACACCCCCCAAACGCTGGCTGATTCCACATTGCCTTCTCATCTTGCTTTCCATCACTCTAACGTAGACATAATACACGGTAGAAGATCATTGTTCTGGGAATCCACATAGGGGAAACTTTCAAAGCTAGAGTAAATTTAAAGGAGTTTTTAACGTTATCAGCATCCATTTTTTAAAAGAATGGGAAAAATGGGGCACCTCGGTGGCTCAGTCATTGGGCGTCTGCCTTCGGCCCAGGTCATGATCCCAGGTCCTGGGATGGAGCCCTGCATTGGGCTCCCTGCTCGGCGGGAAGCCTGCTTCTCCCTCTCCCACTCCCCCTGCTTGTGTTCCCTCTCTCACTGTGTCTCTCTCTCTGTCAAATAAATAAATAAAATCTTAAAAAAAAAAAAAAAGGGAAAACTGCATACAAATGTGTTATAATGTGAATAATGATTGGCTTGTCAGGGCTGAAAATAATCCACTGGTGATGTGCCGTGTGCAATGATTAATATTTTGCCTATTTGACTGAGCCACAGTATGCCCAGATAGGTGGTCTACCAATATTTGGGGGTGTGCCTGTGAGGTGTTTCTGGAAGAGATGAGTGAATCTGTGGATGGAGTGAGGAAGGCCTGCTCACACAAATACGGCTGCACCCCATCTATCATGTTGACAGCCTGACCAGAACAAAAAGAAGGAAGAAGGGTGGTTTCTTTCCCTCTCTCTCTGCCTGCTCGGGCTGAGCTACTAGTGTTCTCTGACCTGGATTAGGATTCACACCATCGGCGCCCAAGTCTCCAGCTTGCAGATGGTACGTCGTGGACATACCAGCCTCTCTAATCTCGTGAGCCAGTTCTTTATAGACAAATGTACGTATTATACATAAAGGGGGTACGTGGGTGCAGACATCCCTACTGGCTCTGGCTCTCCGGAGAGCCCAGACTCGTGCCGCAGACACGGACGCACGCGTGGGGCGGCTGCTTCGAGCAGGCTGGGCTGCCCCAGGAGCAGGAGATGTTTGCTATGACCTCGACCACCTCCCCTGCAGGCCCAGCCTGGCTCGGAGCACGGGGGGGCATCAGGACATACACTCTTCTTGTCCCCTGAGGAACACAATACCCTGCCTAGATTTGTGGTCCTGTACTCAGTGAGCTCAGAGGCCCGAGATGCACGGCCCAGCGGGTCACCTCCTCCAATCCCACCTCCCACCTTCCCACGAGTCACTTTCTAGCCCTGTGACTCGGCAAAGTTTCTTCCTCTCTGAGCCTCAGATTGCTTGTCTGAGGCACTGAATCCCAATAAAAATCACCTCTGGACAGTTGATTTAATTATTGGCTCAAGACTTTGATGGCATTTAGGGTCAGATCAGAGAATATCTTGGATTTCTTATTCAGAACAATTTTTAAGAGAGGTGCTCATCGTCTCTGAGCAAATCTCAAAATGAGAAGACTTGTTTTACTGTCAGTGCATCAGCTACTCCATACCCCCAGAGCCCAGCACGCGAGGAGATCGGGGAGGTGGCCCGGAAGGCACGTCTGCCTGAGTGGATGGACCCGAATCCCTTCCCGGCATCCTCTAGGGGCCCCTGCCAAGCTGGAGCACATCCGCACCTCCTCAGGTGCTCCCTGTCTGGAAGGGAAGCCCGATGCCCGCGCACGCTCCCCAGAGTCAGGGGGCAGAGCAGAGACAATGGGGTTCGGAACACAACAAGGCTGGCACCAATGAGAAGCTCTGTGACTTTCTAGGCCTGTGACTCGGCCAAGTTTCTTCCTCTCTGAGCCTCAGATTGCTTGTCTGAGGCACTGAATCCCAATAAAAAGCTACAATGTTATGATGTCCGGAACTGCAGCTGCCAGATTGAGACCATGAGGCGGCGAGTGTGAGGACTAAAGCTAGGAAAGCCCTAGCTCCAGGGGGACCGTGCACAGCAGCTGCCCCAGCTACACAGTGCGCACCGTCAACTTCCTGCTGCGTCAGAAGAACCCCTCATTTGTCTGCTACGGGACATCGCTCGCAGCCGACGCTTTCCTAGCGGGACTCAGAAATGAGCTGCTTAAATCATCTCATGTCCTTAACAAGTATCATACCATACATTTCAGTGTTTTTATTAAAAATAACAAATACAATTCCACTGTGACCTTTAAGGATGTCTAGCAGTTTCATTACCAGTCAGTTATGGCCAGAGTCATCGTTTACTTATGTTACTTCTCCCCAAATAGCTATCAAGTCTCCCAAAATTGTGCGTGGATGTGCTCACCATGGGCAGCCTGCACTCTAGGAGATGCTCAGTGTGGGATGGAAAAGTTTGTGATCTCACGGAGTGACCTAAGGGGGCCACACGGGACATTCAGGAGAGGGTCGCAGAGGAGTGTGTGCACGTGTATCATAATTATCACCCAGTAGAGACCTGCATTCATCAATCACATGTACAACGAGTTTATGAGTTCTCGGGCACACCTTGCCCCTGGAACTCCATCACAAGCAGCAAAGTCCCTTCAGATTAAAAGCAAACTACAAACAAAAACACATCTGCCCCAAAGAGGAAGATGGCGCTATTTCTGCACAATCTTTGAAAAGCTCATGAAAGACTATTATTTATATTGTTGCCCTCGTCACACCTATTAATGTGATGTTGAGCAACTGTAAAAGTTCTACGAACGTTAGAAACCCCATCAATGTGACAACAATAACACTGCAAACACAAAACCTGGAGGGAAAAAGGAGGGCATTTGGCAAGAACTGTAGGAGTGCTGACTCTCTCATCGCTCGTTGCCAGAAGTTGCTAACATCTAAAATTAGAACGTGGAGTTAAAAATACAATAATTCCAATCTCTTATTGAATGTTTCATAATATTTTTCTTAGCCTTACAATAATATTTTAGGATATTAAGCAATGGTTTTGGCTCTCATTTCTGTTCTCATCTATGTGACTTGATTGTTTTTATCATGTGTATTATTGTTTATATAAAAACAGTAAAGTCATTAACATTTTTAAGTAGGAAATTAACACTTCTATTTCGGTCTGGGTTCTCCAGAAAGACACGGCCATGGGCGGTACATCGACAGAGGGATTCACCGTAAGAAAGAGGCTCATGTGATTACGGAGGCTGAGGAGCCCACGACCTGCAGTCAGCAAGCCAGAGCCCCCCGAGGGGCAGTGGTGAGGTTCTGGTCGGAGCCGAGCCCAGAGACGGAAGAAGCTGATGTCAGCAGGGAGCACAAATTGTCCCCTCCTCCCTCTTGTTCTCTTCGGGCCCTCAACAGATTGGGCGAGGCCCACCCCCATCGAGGAGAGTGGTCTGCTTTCCTCGGTCCACAGACCCAATTGCTGATCTCATCTCGACACGCGCAGACCCGTGCTGGACCAGATATCCCATGGCCCCCTCAGGCTGACACACAAAATTAGCTAGCACCACTTCAAAAACAAGTCACTCTCCACTGTGCATTTCAGCAGGTCCCGTGGAGGACAGCCCGGAGCCGGTCCAGATGCTGAG